GCTTTGTGAAGTGGCCAGATTCTGTCCCAGCATGGCTGTGCCCAGAAATCCCATCTTGTCAGGAATGGCAGAGACTGGGACTGTCAGTGCCATGCCAACAGCAGGGCAGAGCCAGGCTTGTGCCCCTTGGCCAAGACAGCAGGGAGAAGAATCACCTCTGCTCCCAGAGACGTTTTAGGGACTTGTCTGTGTATGTTCATACCAGCACAGTTGAATTCCTTGCTACTTTAAAACAGAAACATGTTTTTCTTTGTTTAAATGAAACCTTACAGCAGATGTTTTATGATTCTTCTACCAATAGAAAAAAAAAAAAAAAAAAAAAAGGAGGCTTGAAAAGTGCCAGCATCATGGCTTTATGGGAGAGTTATATTAACTCAACAGTTTACTGTTCAGCTAGGGAATGAAGCCATTAGCCAAGACACAGGGAATCCAGTTTAAATGACTTCCATATGCTGGATGTAGAGTTCAGTATGTGCCAACATGGGGAGGACTGGGGCCGAGTCTCCCAGGGTGATGGATCTGTGGTCTTCAATCAGCCAGTCCTTGTCTTCATCCTTGTCCATGTCCTGCTCTGCCCTCATCCCTAGGGCTCCACCTTCTGCTTTGCTTCCAGTGTCAGTACTCACCTTCAGGGCTAAGAGGACCATCAAGGGTCCTGCAGCAGTTGTGCCCACACTACTTATAGGTCCAGGAGCCCCATGCCTCAGTTTCCCCACCTGAAGAGCCAGAGCAGAGTCCAGGCATAAGGCAGAGGGAGCGTGAGGGCAGTGGGGTGCTTGGCCATGACCACAGCTGCATGAGGATATGTAGAGGAGTCCCCTCACTGGGCTCATGCTCTGTCAACAGGGCAGAGTTCATCACCATGCAGCACCTTTTCTGCCCCTGCCTTGAGCTTTTCTGACAAATCCCTCATCACCATTTCAGCAAAGAGGATTTTTCTGTCCTACTGGGAACTGTTAACAACACAATCTATGCACACACTGCTGTGAGTGTCTCTGGAACCCGTTTGATGAGCTCCTCAGGGACAGACGGCTCTGTAGACTACTCAGCTCTGCATCTGTCAATTCCATGGTGGAGGGATGCTCTGCCCCACCTCCCTTTCAGCCCCAGTGGGCCCCATGGATGAGGAGTAAAGTGGGATGCAGGCAGAGGATGGGCTCAGCTATAGCTCGTGTGGCAGAGCCCCATGAGTGTCCTTTCCACACCATCCACCAGGAGGGAGAGCCCACCAGCAGCCGCGCAGGGAGGTGATGCTTCCCTACATCACAGGTGCTCTGGGAAACTGCAACAGCTTTTGCCCCAAGGAGGGCTGCTCCTCAGAGGTCTGGTGCAGGTGAAGCCCCTGGATTTGTAGGAAGCTGCCATGTGCATCCAAGCAGATGCCACAGTGTTGTGGTGGTGCCCTCAGCCAGCCTGCAACATCCCGGCCAGAGTACATACACAGGCGCCCTGGGAAAAGCAGAGGGAGGAATAAAGGAAAACTTTCCATTCCAGTGCCCTCGAAAGGACATTATAATTTCCCTTCCCTGTGTCATCCTGCTTGCCTGGTTATGTGGCGTTAAATTAGGGCTCTGGTTCAGTTACGGCTCATTACAGGCTTGCCTGTGACTTTGTTGCAGCTTGCTCAGAAGCACCAAAGGAGCTGAGCCAATGTGAAAGTGGAGGTTTTAGGGACAGCTCAGTGACTGGGAGATGAGCCTTGCCTGTGTCTGGTGAATTCAGCAAGGCCCAGACGTGGTCCCCATGGACCTGGTATTACCACCTGGGGAGCACTGGTCCTGACCCTACCAGTGGGGACAGTAAAGGGCTTGGGATGGAGGTAGATTGATAGGAGATGGCTTCAGCATCTCCTTCTCCTGGCTGAGCAAAGCAGTTGCCCCTTCAGCCTGTCTCAAGGACCTGTGCATGGTGCTGTGTGTGACACAGGCTGCCAAAGGGAGTGTTTTGAATGCTGTCAGACAGAAAAGCAGCTTTTCTGCAGAAATAGCTAAGTCCTGAAATACCCCAAGCAGCTGTGTTTATCCCAACACTCTTGCTCAGAGAGATGCTCGGCTGTGACGTGGCCATTAGTACAAACATCACTCCCAGTGCCCGGACCAGAGCCACAAAGGGCATTGCTCCCTTAGAGGCATTAATACAAACCAGCACCATCCCAGCATGCAGTCGATGGACTCAATAGATAAAAACAGCCTTGGCTCATTCAAGTGCTCAGGTGAGTAGTGTGGCTGTCTTCTTGGGAGCAGAGGGGGTTCCAGGTGTCCTTGTTCCCCCCTTGGGGCTGCTTGCACCCCAGCTGTGCCCTCTGGCAGCCAAGGAAACCTCTGCTCTGTCAGGGTTGTGCTGGGCTGGGACCAGAGGGAAGCCCAGGGATTCCCTGGGGACTTCTTTCCCAGTGGTCTTAGCCTTCAGAAAGGTCCATGATTGCTAGAGAAATGTAGCGAGATCCTTGCAGCCCGACACCTTTCTCTTTGTTGTGCCCTGGTGTTTCCTCCCAGCGCTGAAGGAAAGATGTGTTTGTAATTGCTACACACAGGGCCATTAGAAGAGCTGAATCAGTGTGAGAGAATTGATCTTTTCTAAGCAGGGAAAGAAGAAAGCAGGTGGCCTTCTTGCTCAGACGCTGAGTGCTGCTCCCTTGACCTTCTGAGAGCATCCCTGTGCAGAGGCTGTGCATTGGGGATGCCAGGAGGAGCTGGCGCAGAGGCTTTCTGCAGCCTGCCTCCAAGCCCGGTTGGTGATACTCCCCCTTGCTCTGCCACGAGCTGGGGGACCCACTGCCGCCTCTCCCAAGCCCACCTGCCAGACCAGCTACCAACCCTTGTACTTGTCATCTGCTTTCTGTGGTGCCCAGAGCCCTGCTGGGCATGGAGGAGCTTCTCAGCCCTGGAACAGGGACACACTACAAACCCCACACCCCTCTGCAAATCCAGAGACAAGGCGAGGTCCTGCAGGCTGGCCAAGGGGAAGGGAGGCTGTGAGAGGAAGGCAGCACTGAGTGACAGGATGCAGTGACTGGGTGGACGCAGTTCTGGAGGAACCCCACGGGGTAGATGTTCAGCTGCAGGAGGGCTCGGTGTGCTGAATGCAGGCTGGAAAATTCCTCTGCTGCAGCTGTGTCTGGCATGTATGTATGTGGAGAGCTCAAACATAGTTATCACTCTCCCAAAGACCTCAGGCTCTGATGAGAGCAGTGCACTGATGCTGCAACCCACAGCGGGGGCGGGAGGGCACGACGGACACACACACGCTCTGCCAGAAGCATTGTCCCTTTGCAGGGACAGGTGCTGGGGGACTGTGGGAAGAGCTTGTCCTCCTTGCCTGCGCCAGGAAATGTGCTGGGTTTGGCACAGTGGTGTGCAGTGAGGCACAGGGACAATTAGGGTGTGCCCAGGGGCAGTGATTTCCTAACAGCCCATGTGGGTGCCCTGACCCACTTCTCCCCCTCCCTCTGCACACCCAGGTTAGGGGCTCTCAGCACCCATCAGTCCTCCTGGGAAAAGCCATTTGGGTGAGAAAGGGATGAGCTCCATTCCCGTTTCTGCCTCTGCCCAGGAGCACCAGCATGGGCTGAGCGTGGTGGGACCAGTCTGGGGAGGTTTGGACATCTCCATCACTGCCCTAGGGGTCATGCATGCCTGGTACCTCCCCAGGTTCTGAGGGAAAAGGTAGGAGGTTTAGAGGGCAGTCCAGTCCCATGGGGCTGAGAAGGGTTAGGAGGAGAGAGGGAGAAGATGGTTTGTGTTGCTGTGGACAAACAGAACCATGCCCATTCCCACCCAAACCCTTCGTTACCATGCTTTCCCGGCCCATAGTGGCTTTTACACAACTTATGTCACCCTGGGCTTGAAATACAGGGACATGGAGGTGCAGCCACTTGTGGATCTGTTCCCAGCAAGGGCTGAGAGCTGGGACACAGCATCCCAGCAGCCCTCTCTGCGCCAGACCTCTCCTCATCCCTGCAGCCCTCTTTGCTCACAGCTCTGCCCGGATTGCTCTCTTCGCAGGAGAAGAAAGGCCAGAAAGTTAAGATGGGCCCAGAGGTGGAAATTGCGAAGCTGGAGAAGCTGCTCAACCTGGTGAGAGATCCAGAGAACACGGCAGGGGAGTGAGCGGGTGGAACGACAGCTCTGCCAGGGGCTGCTGGCCGAACAAGCCCAGCTTTGATTGGTGGCTGCTTGGCATGCAAGCCACGGGCTCCGTGCTGCCCGCTCTTTGCCTAGCGGGAACACTTTGCCTCTGTGCCCGGACAAATAAACGGGGGTGCTGGGAGAGCCACAGCTGTTCAGTTGTCTCTGGGGTCAAGCAAACTTCTCTGCGCTCGGTCCCCAGAGCCGCACAGAACTCAGCTCTTCCCACCCTTGGCTGGGCTTGCACAGGGTGAGAGCCCCATGGAGGGCGGGTGAGGGCTGGTCCCACCAGCCCTAGGGAAACCTCAGGGCTGCAGCTTGATGGCAATCAGACCCACTGTGAGCGTTGCCAGAGAGACTGAGCACGGAGCTGCAGCCCTGCAGCCATTTGTGGGGTCAGCCACAAACAGCTCTCTTGATTTTAGGGCGGCAGCCTAAGCCAGAGGGTGCCTGGGGATCTGGCCTGGCCCCAGCGTGGCCATGGGACAGGGATGTACCACCGCTCCA